TAGTGACCTTGTACTTGCTTGTAATGTGTTTTCAATTAAGCAATATTTATTTCAATGTTTAACACGTGTTTATTGAGACTGTACAAAGGGCAAAACATCGTTACTTAACGATAGTAAAAAATGTGTATTGAAATAAAACTGATTTTTTTTATACGAGAAATTGTTGTCCATGGTGGTAATGAAGTGTGTATGCGAACAGATTGCAAAAAATGTGAAAACTGAGGTCGATACAGTCTGTTAACTATGGCCTATTTTTGCAAAAATGTCTGGCAGGATAGCATGCACAGATGCTGGCTACTGGAGTGCATTGAATCATGACCGTTTTTCACCGACTTAACCTGATAGCATGAAACTCCCCTGACCGGAAAAGGGTTAATAAGAAAGTAAGCTACCTTCTCTTGCGCCTATCTCTGCTACGGCTTCGCCTACGTCTATCTCTATCATGGCTTCTGCTCTTGCTTCTCCTCCTGTCCCTACTACGGCTTCTACTACGACTCCTGCGACGATCTCTGCTCCTGCTACGACGTCGTCTACGCTCACTTCTATCTGAGGGATAAAAAATTAAGAAAATTCAAAAATTTATTATTAATTTATATATTCCACTAATTACAATACAGTATGGTTCAAAAGTGCAGAAAAAAATGACACTACTATAACTCTAGTTAAAGTTAACTTATTATATTCAAGGTTATTTTTGTTCACTCGATTGCTTTGGTAAAAAAACAGATCCGCCATGATGTTTGTGACACATTAATTGACCGGCATGTGTCCTTTGACTCTATGGGTCAAGAAAGCCATTAAAGAATGCTGCATGGTAATGCCAGTAGAATCCAAAGTTTTCCGAATGATAGTGATCATAAAATTTACATTGCAGAAGTAAGGCGATGTCATAGCATGATGTGTTGGTATGGATTTCAGACGAAAACTGCATAATGGTTTTCGAAAGAGGTGATTAGCAATTTTTAAAAGGTAAAAGAAGTCTTGAAAAGAGTTTTTACAAGATTCGCGATGATAAAAGTTCAAATATATTTTACCCAATCACACAATAATCACGTTTTTTCTTGAGTAGCGTAAACTGATCTTGAACTCCGCTTTGCCCATATTATATTGGGGTGGAATTGATTTTGAAAGAATTTTAGTTTTCAAGCTAAAGACTGCGTCGATCGTCAAAGTATTTACTTACGAACAAAGAGGTGCTAATTTTACAACATTGACTTGTATTGTTTATAAGCTGCTACCACACCGTGCGACTATGTTTACAAATTATAATCTACCACAGACAGGATGCGTGTCGGTCGGTACATAATTATAATAACAATCTGACAATAGTCCTGGTCGGAAGCATTTTCGTGGTGGTCGCTAATTTTGAGTGCTGGTCGGGGTTGACCAGTGTGGCAATATTCGTGATAGCTACGGATATCGTATTTATTTTCGTAATACAGTTCACCAGATGAACAATGAAAAAAGTACTGTGGAGATCTTGCTAATCACCGTGGCGGCTTGAGACCACAGTGGCAGGCAGGGAAAGCAGTGTGGCGGCCCCCCAAACAAATTGAATGCTGGGGAGAACACTGTAGTGTAAACTAACAGTGTGTAAACTACGCTTCGATGATAACCTGTTAACATGAAATGTGGTAAATACTTCATGCCATATTCAGTTTACCTGAATATCTGTTTCTTGTTTCCACACACATCATTTTGAACTATGCGCCTCAAACGTTTTTTGTTTCTTTAAAGCATTCCAAAATGCGCTTGTATTTGACCTTGTCTCAAATCACCCCCATTTTAGCTCAGTATTTAAAAAAAAAAAAAAAACGCCTCGCCGCCTCATTTTAATATTTCCTAGAAACGAGAAAGAGACATTGACATTGATAATTCCCTTCTGCATTGCGTTACCAGAATTTCAGAAGATTTGTGTCGGTAGAACAGCATTCCGATTGGTTAATAACAGACTTGATCTATTAGGTCAATTAGGACGTTGTTGCAGGTCAAACCTTGTAAGAAAACATGGCGAAAAATGCTTTGCATACAGAGTTTGCGTACAATCGAACACATGTTGAAATCAATGAAAACGCAACTAATTTTGTAATTTTATTTTTCCCAGATGACGTAATATTCCAGTAAATCTGTCACATGGTGAACTAAAACTGTCATTTGCACTCGTTCGAGGGGGGCGCTCGGGCCACCCACTCAAGCGATTAATAGAGTCGAGTGTCCTGTGTGTATACGATAATGTTATCAAAGTTATTCAACATAAATGCATTATGCTAGTCACATATTGTACAATATTTGCAAGCCTAATTATTGTTTTTCTTGATGGCATTTGACATCATTTTATCCAACTAAAAGACATTGCAAAGACAAACAAATACCAGTTTCTGGTAGCTACATACTTATGATTGTTATTCATCCTGAAAATGTGTGTAATGAATAATATAATTTTTGAAATATTTTAAATCATATCACTTACACGCGTAGCTTATGGAGTTTTTTTGATAAACATTAGTTGTGTACTAGTGGTTCTTTTTTTTAATATCAGATTATTATTTCAAATATTAGACTTATACTAACAGCAACATTCAGAACAGACGCATTAATATGCAAATGTCGCTACAGCGTCGAACGACAAATACATGTATGGTTTCTTCAGAATTTACAATCCACAATTTTTGTTATGGATATATATTGCAAGATAAAATGAGTATTATTTTGAATCAAATATCTGCTGTTGATGCCTGTTGAACTGTTCAGGATACGTTTTGAAAAACTGTAATTTTAGTAACGCGTAAAGCACGTTGCTTTTGACTTTTATAGCTTTGTTTCTTTTAAATTATTTTAAAGTGTTAACTCGCAGAGTTATTTTCACGAAATATTGCGATACAAACAGATACACCCACAGGGTACAATATTACCTTTGTCGTCAGGCTTCTCAACATCCATGCTGCCGAATCCGGTCATTTCATGAAAGCTCAAACGCAATAAATATACAAGCACAGGTTTCTTGGTCGGCAGCAAAACTGAAAATCAAAATGGTAGATTCTACAGATTACCCGTCGTTCTTTGCAAATCGGTCTATCCCATAGTTCTTAGCGAGAATAATAGTTATCACTTCCGGTTGTACAAGGTGGAGTTGCAAAAAGCACATGTGACTTTCGACCGGTGAAGGATTCACGAATTTATCTTCGATGCCGTTCAAAGTGGAGTAGCTGGTACCAATGAGTCATTGAGACGCATTTGTGGGGACAACTTCGTCCGCTACAACGATGGTAAGTTGGGAAAGTAAAAATTATCGATGGCTTCAGATCAAACATGGAAGTGTGAGAATCGTATACGAACAGATGATAGATTACACGTTTAATTAAATATATATATCTAAACAATACTATTATACTACCCTATAATAAAAGTATGTTATATTTATGTCGATATTTATTATATCGTAACTCGATTTATGTCGTTTGTGTTCATGCAAGGACTGTGGTTCATAAATGTATTTTGACAGATCACGTCGTATACTATATATGTTCATTGTTCTCAGATGGATTCTGTGATCGTAATATACATCATGGCCTTATATGTATATGAACATAATAAGTAACATCTAAATAGTTCCATGTCGTACTGATTATGCACCATTCAATTGAAAGCCTGGTTCCCCCAGGGCCAAATATGACGGGACATAGTATAATTTAGTGGGGCTTATGCGAACATAAACGTTCCAGGATGTTGAGAGTGTACACTTGGTTGGATCTAAGCTGGGGCAGTATACTATACAAAATCCTGTAAATTGAGTGACTTTACCTTAGGACTGCATTGAATTGAAAACCTGATCTTTCGTGCTGTGATATGTTGGTATCAGTATAAAATTTCCAGAATTACTGTACAATTCCTGGGAGCACCTGGTGCATTTCTGGGAGCACCTAGTGCATCCCGGGAAGTAAATTTGGACCCAAAAGTGACATGTAAGTGGTGAAAATGGTTAGAAACATTAAATACACAGTGTGCAGCAAAAACATATAAGTGTAGATGATCGTTGACACAAATGGTGGCCATCGTTGTGGTTACCCATCAGTCATTTGAACGTACCTCCTGGTCTATTGACAGACTTACATTTCAACAAAAACAGTTATATACACACCATTAACTTACCTATCTGTACTAAGAAAGTATTTGTTAGGAAAGAAAAATACAATTGTATGTTAAGTGTAATTTTTATTACTACTAGTATACTAATTCACAGTTGTCTACATAGGTCATCTTCTTGTTACTTTGTCTTCATAGAAAATTAGACTCAAAATTTAACAGGTACACATTTTACAATCACACACATATAGGCCCGAATTTACTCTCAAGGAGGTACCAGACATGTGGTCCCGAGATTTGTTTGGTAGCCTCCTCAGATCTGGAGATCCCCATACTGATGGAGAGGGTTTAGTTAACCATTGCATTATTGCATGCCAATCCATTCTGAATGACTCAACTCATGGTTGTGACATGCAACATTCAATGATTGAAATATGTCATCATGGTGCCATTGCAAAAGGCTAGACAAGCCAGGCCATCCAAACGTCATTTTTCTCTTCCTGCTTCAACAACAAAGGGTTTGTCAAAAGTGAATTTATTTGGTCTGTCATACATCACAAATATGATTTCTATTTTGACTGTGAAGCTATTTCCTTATGACGTTGTCTGTAAATAGTTTCATGATGTTAAACAGGTACTACAGTCAACCAAATGTTTAAACAGCATTCTGAAATATCTTTCCAACATATCTTTCCAATGACATATTAGTATTTTGCATAACAACAGACCATGTTTTTTTATTATTATAAGGAATAAAATTGATACCACTCCAAGACCCGTTGGATTCGTTTTTTCTCTCATTATAATGTACTGCCAAACAGAGTTCTTTTTGAGTCGGCGACAATTTTAGTATTTAAAAATTTAGTCAACAAGAAATGGGTTATGGTAATAAAGATTGAAAAACTGAAATCAGAATGGACTAAAATAGTCGCGTGTATACACGATCGTTTTTGCCACAATGTTGTTAGATGTTATTAGTCGTTGTATTCTGTTGAACCAGGTGGCTATGCCACATTGTTATTTTTCCAGATTAAAATTGAATAAATGCACTTTCAGAAATAAAAATGGAATACAAAAGACAAATTGAGAGAGATCAGACAGTGGAGATTGTTTTCTGTCAGTAGTACCTGACACAGCTGAAGTGAATCCAATTTAATCGAATTAATACCTTCCTTCTAATGGATTAATAGGTTGTCTATGGAAGAGGGAAACAAAATATAATCGAATGCAATAAATTATTAGTTAGAAATAATATTTATTAGTAGATATTCCCATAGACTGGCACAGCTGTGGTGATTTTTTTTTTCTGTTAAATATAATAATAATAAAACATAGTTTTTTTGTGAAATTTTGGGGTGATTACAGGGGATTTCGCGTTAACACTTCCATTTCGCGAAATTTGTATTTAATTTAAATTTTAAAAAGAAATAAATCGCTTGGACTGTACCGGTCTTATATTCTCACTATACATACTTTGTAATTATTTTATTGAATATTACTTGATATACATTTTCTCGATCTACCATAGTCAGTGTATAAATCCTAATTCTCACCCTGAACTTTTTTTTTTTTAAATCTACCATTTATGTTGAAAAAAATATTGAAATAAGCTGAATAATTTTGTTGTCATTTGTTGATGTTGTCTTGTATTTCACCCAATCTTTATAATCATGATTGGCGTGTCAAGTTTTTTGTTCGGAAAAGTCTGATGACAGCTATGGATTAGTTGGGTGACAGCCAGCTGATGCATCAGGTCTGGCAGTTGCATAATAAGGGTGACTGAATGGCTGAAAAAATAGTTTTAGTTGTTCATGCAATTAATGCAACTCATTAATGACTAGTAACTACCTCAAAAAAATAAAATAAAAGCATTATTTTTTTCCGCTGGTATTTAATTTTAATATTCTGATATTTTTTCATATTCCCTGCATTTTGAATTCTCAAATTTTCCAGCAAAACAATAAATTCTATCGACCAGATCTATGAATAAGTGATAACCTTTCTATCACATGACCAACTCCTAGTGTCAAAACTTCAGAAAAATCATGAATTTATGGAACTTTGCTTACAAGTCTTATGCTAATCAGTAGACGCACATTTGCAGTTACACATTTGGGTTTCAAAACCGACAGAAATATTAACCTTCTTAAGGATATTTTTCAAAACAAACTTTCAGTCTTTGTTAATATGAGTTATTGTCCTTGCATCGCGTTAGTAATTGTTGTTATCTAGTTTAAAATTCTCATATCGCAGGGATAAAAACAGCATCTATGAAAGATTGGATTTTCTCCACGTGCTGTCCAAAAACACTCAGATTAATGATGTTTATTGTGCATATCGTCATGTTTAATGAGAAATATCAGTCACAGATATTTCACACTGATATTTCACACTAGTCCTCTGTCAAATTTGGTACATTCATTACACTTCATGGGACCTTGATGACATCATTTTGTTTTTCAAATCAGATTCAAAATGTTTCTGAACAACAACAGTCTAATATGGAGTATGATTCAAGACTAGAATTGTGACATCCATTTTCCTTTTATGTCCTCAAGTTTCCGTTTCGTCAAATTCAATAATGAAACTAAATGTTTTTGAATTTTATAAAGATGACTTTTTCTTCTTTTTTTTGTAGGCTTCCGAAGATGACAGTAATCTAAGATCATTGGAAGCATTGATGTCTGAATTCTTTGCAAGTAGTACAACCAATGAAAGGAAGCGACAAATCGGTAAAACATTAGTTTTTTTAAATATTTGTAGTACTGTAAAGTCTGTATTAGAAGCCGCGGCTTCTATTAAAATGATACAATGCAATAGAGGAGATGCGGTTTCTATTTGAGCATCTACACATATGAGAAATGATGATTTTTTGATTCTCAATTATTCAAAAAGATTGTGTGCGACTTCTATTATGGATGCGGCTTCTAATACAGCTTTTAAGGTACCCTATGTGTGTTCATCGATGTTCAATCATTACCTTTCTAGTTTAGTTTAGTTGATATTTGATTATTAGTACAAGTCTTGGCATGACTCTGATTATGATTTCATCCAAGTCGTTTCCACCAGACCAGGTGCTTCATTCCATGTATACTGTAAAACACTTTGAAATATCTACGTCTATTTTAGCGAATTTGATTCAATGAATGAATTAACAGAATCCTAATTAAGCTAGAGTATCAACAATTTTGTGAGAATATACTTTCCTGAATTATTATAGTTTTGGCTTATACCTAATGGCTTAGTAAAAGCATCAAAGACATTAAGGTCAGGGACAAGTAGTAATTAGGGATACCCTTACCTAGTGATAATATAGGTACGTTAACACTGACATTGCTGTTATAAGCTAAAAAACGATCATTTATCTCAGTCTTCTGTTCTTTTGTTTTATTATGAACCCGGCAATAGAATTTATTATAAAAGTATATTGTCCATACCTGATGGTGTTCTCATTTGCATCTCAGCTTGTTTCTGAATTTCCTAAATAAAGTGATGTAGTGTTGTTGTACAATCACCCAGGGTGACACTGATGTAAGGTGGTGTTGTTAAATCATTGTGGGTATTAAATGCTGATGTTGTTGTTCAATCAGTAATGCTGATGTAAGGTGTGATTGTTCAAATACCTCAGGTAACACTGATTGCATGATTTTCACCTTACAGAAGAGTTACTGAATAATTTCAGCGCACAAAGTGGAGCATGGCGGCATTGTTTCTTTTTCCTGTCGCACACATGTAACGAGTATGTGATGATGTACTGCTTGACCGTTTTTGAGGTGAGTGTCGAGTTTACTTTTTCTAATCATTCACAATTGCTCCATATAGATCTATTTTCAGAAACTCCTAGAAGCGCTATTATGTACTTCTCAGTTTATTACCAGTTATTTTATCATCACACTTTTGACTCTTTCTGGCACTGATTATGATTATTCAACATGGCTGCTGAACATAAATGTGTTATTGGTCCAACCAAAATGAAATACTAGAATTAGGTGCATATAAATTCGGAAATATGCGTACTGGATCATTACAATACGACAAACTTTTGTCATTAAAGTAAATGTACATGTATCTACTGCTACATGTAATACAGTAATCGTACATGTATATTTGTGAACATTAATGTGCCACAGTCATATGCAGCATACATGCGCTGTATACCTCACATTTGACGACTTCACCTTTGAACTGTGTATGTTACCAATTAAAAAAATGTGCACTGTAATCTTTGATGTGACTAAAACTATTCTCATTCTTGTGTGTTGCTAACATAGAACGTCATCAATCGAACATGGATCGGTATACCCATGGAGGACAAGCTTGAAATACGCAACAGTCTTTCTAAATTATTATTAACGCGTCACAAATCAGTGCCTCCTTTTATACGTAATAAGTTGGTCAAAGTATTGGTGGATATTGGACGACTTGATTGGCCGCATTATTACCCAGAATTCTTCACTGAAATATTCCAGGTATGTGTTTGTGGCAGAATTGTTTTCTCTGTAATGTTGGTATCCTATATTTTTGAAATTTTTGTTGCATTTTTTTTTTTATAGTTTCTTTGTTAATTGTTAATTTTGGACCAAAGAAACATAATTGCCAATGCTCATTTTAATAATTATTTAATATTTTTTCCCGTCAGCTCTTATCTAAGTTACCTGTATTTCAGACATTTATGGGCTGATTTCATTTAAAATTCGCTCACACATCATATAATACATATGCAGCACATCCATTTGTCCAAGATGGCAGAATAGCAGCCATATTAGAGCTAAAATTCTTCAAAATCAAGCAATTCTGTCATTCCAGAACTGGACATATTTTATTTAAACTTGGTATATTCATTGAACATATTAGGTCCTTCATGCACTTCATTTTTTTTCAGTTCAGATTAATACAAAACTCTATCAGTAATCACTCATGCCTGCTGACTTCAATCTGAGAGCATTGATGTGTATTTCTTTCATTTTTCAGCTCATACAACAGAATGGAACATCAGCTCTTGGGTTAATCATACTACAGACCACCTCTGAAGAGTTGGCATGTCCACGAGAAGATCTCAGCGTTGCTAGGAAAGAAGAACTGCATTCCTTGTTGCTACAACAAGTACCAACTATACTTAGTTTACTTACAGGTTAGACCAAATACATGTATTTCAATTACTGAGAATATCGGTAACATTTTCACAGAACAAAGAGGTTTATTGAAAAGGTTTAATTGCATAAATAGAAATGAGTGAGATCATCTCTGCATTCAAAAAATAAGCGAGGATCTTAGCTTTTCAGTCTGAGATGAACACCAACCAATTCTTTCTCTGATTCACTTAATTGCATTAGTATAAATGTACGTATGATTTTGTGATTATTGTGCAATTCATGTGACTTCATTTTTGGATCTTTTCATCACATATCATGACAGTTGTATACCCTCATCTCATCAATCTTTAATACAGTGTGCCAAACAATGGCGTGGTCATTATAAATTCAATTTAATTTTTTCTTTGCAGGTGTATTAGAATCTGTTTTAGACAAGCATCGTCATTTGGTAACCACGGCAACACCTCCTCCTTCACCAACGCATGATGATTCCAGTTCTAACAGCCCTACAAGTCAAAAGACGTTTGCTATGTTTAGTACATCACCACTGCAGTCAGGTCAGTATTGTTCTTAAAAACAGATCAATTTTCCTTGACTTTTAAAATATGGTTTTATTTGATGCTGTTTGTTCACAAAACCAAAACTATTTTTTATATGAAAAGGGATCTTGAAAATGTTGAGTAAACTGAGATCATCATAACTCAGTAACATGTAGTGAAAATCTCAAATATAGTTACAAGCTGGGTACCAATTTGAACTGAGTAAGGAATTTGTCAAACTCCAAAAAAATGAAAAAATTAAAGTTTTTAGCTCTGCTGTCGACTTTGTCGAGCGGAGCTTAACATATGAGTGATTGTCCGTCGTCATCAGTCGTTTTGTCCGTGTCAATGTTATACTTTTTCAACTTCTTGAAAACTACAAGCCTGAATGCTTTGATACACGGAATGAGAAATATTTGAAGCGGGCAAGTCAAAATCATTTAAAGTGAATGAAAAGTTAGAGATCGTGAAATTTACATTCTACTATAGAGATTTAAAAGTTGACTTGCTTGGAACCTATTCTAGGGTAAAAAAGTTAACTGGTCTGTCTACCTTGGGTAGACCTCTCTCAGATTTGTTCATTTTGTAATGATATCTTCAATTCTCTAATTTTGGTGAATATTTGTGTAATTTTTGCTAAAAAGTGATATTTTCGACTTCTTGTTAAAAACCACAAGTCCAATTGCTTTGATATTACACATATATATGTAGGTACAACATGTGGTCCTCTCACAGATTTGTTCATTTTGTAATGTTATCTTTAATTCTCTAATTTTGGTGAATTTTTTTGTCATTTTTGCTAAAAAGTGATATTTTCAACTTCTTGTTGAAAACAGCAAGTCCGATTGCTTTGATATTATACATATTGTTTATTGTCTAATAATATCTTCTGTTCTTTAATTGAAATGTGGATTGCTAATAGCGGAGCTATCTCAGCCAACAGGCTGCTAGTTTTTTATGGCTCTGCATAACTTCTGTTTTTCGTTGATTCCTTTGTATGCATCTTCTCTGATATCTGTAGTAGCCACAAAATAATTCATTTTCTAATCGTTAACATACATCACATTTTGACACTAAAAGGACGGACGGATATGATGATTTACATTTTCATTTATTTTAGGGAGTATACTAAGCAGCATGTTTCAGTCGCCTGGCAGCAGTAAACAAAACGTCCAACCATTGCCGCCATTGGATCAGGATAGCGAACAACTAAGTGGACTAGCTTTGAGTTGCTTGAACCATCTCTTCAGCTGGATTCCGTTATCAACAAACATCACTCCAGCATTACTAACTACGATATTCCAGTTTGCGAGTTTCGGTTGTGATATTAACACTGTACAAAACAATCCATCATTGTCACAAGGTCATACAAGTTTCAGTAAAACAGGAAGCTCAAACTTGGGTGTTCTTGCTATGTGTTGTATCAATGAACTTATGTCCAAGAACTGTGTGCCAGCTGAATTTGAGGAATTTCTACTTCGGATGTTTCAGCAGACATTCCAGTTATTGCAGAGATTAACTAAGGACACCACCGCGCAATCTGTTGGAAATAAATTAGCAGAACTAGACGAGAAGTAAGTTTAACTTACCAACCACCAATAGGACTGTTGCTATGGCATGGAGTATCTGAAGTTGGATTTTCATTCATCCTTCCACATTCTCTTGTGCCATATACATATATTTAAATATGACATCCTCATTAATATTCAACTCTCATTTTATTTTATTTTCAGTTATATTGAAAAATTTACAGAATTTTTAAGATTATTTGTTAGTGTGCATCTGAGACGGTTTGAAGGCAATTCACAGTTTCCATTGTTAGAACTTTTAGCGCTGCTCTTCAAATATACTTTTAAACAGGTGAGTACCGGATAATTCCATTTATTAGTTGATATGTTGTTTCTACTTCATGGTTAATCAGGCTTTGTGGTTGTCTTGGTGACAGGCTGCACCCTGAGACGTGATGCAAGGAGAGACTGTTGAATTACAGTCTCAATCAAATCACTTAAAAAATTGTGGCCCAACAAAGATTACCGCTGACTGCTACTGCAAGCACTAAAATAAACTGATCTGATAAACTGTTATCTTGCTATCAGTTTAAAATAATTCCAAAATTGCAGTATTCCTAGGAGCATTGCCGACAATGCTTGTTTATGCCTTCAACCACTGGAAATTAACAGTACTGCAGCTGCATATATTGCCACTATATTTGACTTTCTTTATCTCCCATATGTCTAGCCAAACAATGAAGGCTTCTATGTGTGCTTAGATATATGGATGGTGTTCATAGATTATCTTGTCAATGAAACAAGGTGCCGGACTGCAGAGAGAGAGGAAGTAGTAAACAGGTGAGAATTATGGGTAACTCAATTCATACTTAGATTAAGCTTTTGTGTGAAGACATAAATGTAAATCTGCGTGGTCAAAATGTAGGGTTTACTCAAACATTTTGGCAAATATGAAGACTAAAGAAGCAGAATTTTTAACTGGTTACAAACTTTTAAAATTAATATTGAGAAAAGTATTTGAATAGTTGACTGAATGCATTCATCTCAACTCATCATCGTATGGTATGTTTTACTGAACTTACTGGATGTATTATTTGCAGGTATAAGGATGCCTTGGTCAGTTTGGTTAGTGAACTCATTCATAAACTTCAGTTTCGTTTTAATCAATCACAGTTGGAAGAAATGGACGATGAAACTCTGGATGATGATGTAAGTTATATAATTAATTTGTCATTCAATTTTGATCATAATACACTTTTATTCACTATATTCGCAAGTCAAGGAATAAAACTAATGAAACGGATTGAATAATTACATCAGATTATGTTGCATTCAGTGAATCTATTACACCACTCTTCATTGCATAGCAATACAACACCTGCACCTCGTCACATTAAACCACTCTGCACTGCATCACAGCACTACATTGCATTGATCACAACACTTTGCTTCGCATCACAAACATTGCACCATATTGTAATATACTGCACTGCACCACGTCACAACACACCCTATCACCACACTGCATCGCATCGTAATATATTGCACTACGTCACAACACTGTCCTATCACTGCACCGTCGGCCTCCGTCCGTCTAGGAAGACGATGGGTTGCGCCATGATGTGGTTGAACTTAAGCAGCGTCTGTGGTGGCTGTAGAGCCCAATCCTTGAGTGAAAATCCCTGGCAATGAAAACTGAGTTGTCGAGTGAGCTGATAGATGCTTTACTCCTCAGTCGCTTCTGTCGCTGTCTTTCGTGTCTGTCCTCCTCCGCGCCCTGGATGTCTTTGCTGACTGCTTGTCTCCATGCTGAGAGGTCATCGGCTGTTATCTCCCATGACTGTGTGTCTATGTGAGTAGCCTTGAGGTCTCTTTTACAGACGTCAGAGAACCTCAGGCCTGGCCGACCAACTGGGCGTGTTCCTTCCTCAAGTTGGCCGTACAGCAAGTCCTTTGGAAGACGTCCCTTGTCCATACGGCTAACATGACCCAGCCAGCGCAGTCGTCTTTGGCTCAGCATGGCGAAGATTGATGTTGTCTTGGCCTTGCTGAGAAATTCACGATTGGTGATTTTGTCTTCCCAGGTGATCCCTAATAGTCGACGTAGGCACCTCATGTGGTAGCCGTTTAGTTTAGCCTCCTGATTTGTGTAAGTTTCCCATGTTTCACTACTGTATAGAAGAGTGCTGAGAACACATGCGTGGTAGACTTTCAACTTTGAGCTAAGAGTCAGATTTTTGTTCTCCCAGACTCTCTTTGTCAGCTTGGACACGACTCCTGTGGCTTTTCCAATGCGCGCATTTATCTCTGCATCAAGGGACAAGCTCTGAAAGATGTTTGAGCCCAAGTATCTGAAGTTATCGACCACAGCCAACTGCGAGTCATCGATTTGGATGGAAGGTGGTATTGGAGGGTCCTGTGCCATTACCTCCGTTTTCTTAATGCTGATTGTGAGAGTGAACTTTTTGCAGGCTTTAGAGAAGCGGTCCATAAGTCGTTCAAGACCGTCATGGGTGTGACTCTCAAGAGCAGCATCATCAGTAAACAGCATTTCTCTGAGGAGAGAACACGTGTGATCTTGGACTTGGCCCGAAGCCGAGCCAATTTAAAGAGTTTTCCGTCGTGCCTGGTGTGGATGTAGACACCGTCAGATGAAGAGCCGAAGGCGTAGTACAGAAGGAGAGAGAAGAAGATCCCGAAGAGTGTCGGGGCGAGCATGCATCCTTGCTTAACACCGCTACGAATGTCGAATGGTTCAGATGAATCCCCGTCGAAGCTGACAGTGCCTTTCATGTCTGTATGGAAAGACTTGATGAGACTTAGGAGCTTTGGTGGGCAGCCTATGCGCTGAAGAAGACTGAATAAGCCACTGCGACTTACCAGGTCGAAGGCCTTGGTAAGGTCAATGAAGGCCAAGTATAGAGGTTGTCGCTTTTCCCTGCAATTTTCCTGGAGTTGTCTCACAGAGAAGATCATGTCTATGGTGGAGCGACCTGATCTAAAACCACATTGTGATTCTGAAAAAACTTGTTCTGCGAGGGCCTGCAGTCTTGTAAGGATAACACGCGCGAACAACTTGCCTACGATGTTGAGGAGGGATATTTGTTGCAGTCAGAGCGGTCACCTTTGTTCTTGTATAGAGTCACTGTCTTTGAGTTCCTTATATCCTGGGGCACTTCACCTTCTTTTCAACACAAACAGAGTAGCCCATGAAGATGTGGCAGTAGGACTGATTTTCCTTTTTTTATCACCTCTGGGGGAATGGCATCATTTCCTGGTGCTTTACCAATGGCTAATGCATTGATAGCTTTTTCAAGTTCTTCCATGGTGGGTTCAGCATCGAGGTGACTTATGAGTCAAAACTAGTATCTAAAGACGCAATCAACAGTATTCCCGAGTTGGGAGCTCGGGAATACTGTTGATGGCGTCTTCAGATACTTGATTTTCGGTTGAGTAGAGCTCTAGGTAGTGCTCTACCCACCTTTCCATCTGCTTGGAGCGATCGGAGATTGTCTGTCCATCTTTGGACTTGAGGGGAGCTGATTTGTTTGTGACTGGCCCTGTGGCTTGCTTGATTCCTTCATACATGACCCTTATGTTGCCGGATGAAGATGCATTTTCAATTTTATCACATAACTCCAGCCAGTACTTGTTTGCGCATTTCCTTGCCATCTCTTGACTAGCGGCTCTGGCTTTTCTCAGAAGGCTGAGATTTTCCTGTGTTGAATATTGTTTCCATTAGATCATAGCTTGTCTCTTTGCATCAATAAGAGGCTCCATTGTTTGGAGATTTGCTTCAAACCAGTCTCTATTTTGTTTTACCCTCTTTCCGTATGCTTCTATGGCAAATGCATAGATGTTTTCGCTCAGTAGTGACCATCTTGCTTCTGCTGACCGGTTATCATTGATGCCGGGGAGAGTGCTTATAGAAGAGACAAAGTGGTTGGTCCTCTCTATATCCTTTATGTGGGCCGTATTTATCTTGGGCAAACCTTTTGGCTTGGCATGATGCACCTTTTGCAGATTCACCACTACTCTGCTGATGACAACGAAGTGATCTGTGTCACAGTCAGCACTGTGATAACTTCTTGTATTATGCACACTCTGTAAGTTTGCTCTTTTCGTGATAACAAGATCAAGCTGGTGCCAATGATGAGAACGTGGATGCATCCATGAGACTTTATGTCTGTCCCTGTTTGGGAAGTAGGTGTTTGTGATGCACAGCTGTCTGCTACAACACATTTCGAGGAGCATCTGTCCATTTTCACTGCACCACATTATAATATACTGTGCTGCATCACAAGACGCTCTATCACTGCACCACATTATAATATACTGCATTGCATCACAAGACGCTCTATCACTGCACCACATCATAATATACTGCACTGCATCACAAGACGCTCCATCACTGCACCACATCATAATATACTGCACTGCATCACAAGATGCTCTATCACTGTACCACATCATAATATACTGCACTGCATCACAAGACGCTCTATCACTGCACCACATCATAATATACTGCTCCGCATCACAAGACGCTCTATCACTGCACCACATCATAATATACTGCTCCGCATCACAACACTGCCCTATACCGTATCGAAATATACTGCATGCATCACAACACAAGTACTGCACTGAAACATTGTATGTATAAATTTATATCATCTTTAATGTGTCTTTTTATCCTGTCTCATCTCAGTGTGAAACTGAATGGCAGTATTTTCTACGACAATGCATAGAAGTAGTGGCAAGGGTTGCTGAACTCCTCCCAAATGAAGTGTTCAGTTTGATGGTAAAGTATAATTTTTTTCTCACTTTAATTGTCAAATTTGAATTAGAATTAGATTATACATGTATTAAAATATATTAATGATAAGGTCAGGTATAATATAGTTCACTACAGTGTTCACTTAGTCATGAATAAATGTGTAAAACAAGAGATATTTTTACCACCATATTTTATTCTTGCAGTACCCACCATTCCAAGACTATTCTGAAGTATATTTGGGTTTACAGCAATTTGTAACTGGTTCAGACAATGATCGTGAGTAACTAAGCAGTGATTATGAGAAACTTGACAGTAAATGTGAGAAACAGTGAATGCAAGTAACGTGATATAAAACATTGGTAACCCAATAAATATGAGTAACTCATTGAATGTGTGTAACTCAATAATAAATGTGAATATTGTCCAGTTGTGTCTAAAACATGCAAGACAATATCAGTCCCTTGTAGCTCAACATAATTTTCCATCTAATAAAAGATTGCTGGTGACCTCAGGCTGCCTTTTTGTTTTAGACTGATTGGCATTTTGGTTTTTCAATTCCCACGATGTCTGATTGACTGACTCTAGCAATTTACTGAAATACTGTGGAATACTTTATTTTCGCGGGGATTTTATTTTCGCTTATTTCGCGATAGGGAAATTAGCATGAAAATAAAAATACCACGAAGTGTTGTTTTAGCATCTCATGAATAATTAATGAGGCCAGCTTGCCGCCATATTGGATCGTAGTGAATAACAAGCTACGTTTCTACGCACACTCTAAAACGATATACAAGTTATTAAATGACAAAATTAAGTTTTATTTCCTTTACATAAATATTTATACATACAAATACTAGTACAGTAAAAAAAATGGCAATATTAATTCACAATTTCAAAAGTTCGTTCAGTTCCGATGTAGGGCAAATATTCATAGCCAATACTAGTATTTTACACAACTTTCTTAAACAAGTCCCGCCTGTATAAATCCGACAATGTCATGACGACTGGATAAATTTCATAACATTTAATCAACCATTTGGCATGCAATGGTTTCATCAGCGATGTACTGAGATCTACGTGGTTAACGTCAATACCTTTAACGTCTACACTGTTGTCGAGTGACTCGGTAACTTTGTCTGCATACCAAGACTGGAAACAGTTCTTTAATTTGTCTTTGAATTCTTTGTTGACTGCCAAATCTAATGGCTGTAGTCGATCGGTGCAACACGCTGGAATATATACCACATGTATATGGTTTCTTTGCAGTATTTCATGCATCTCTTTAGATCGGTGGGCTCTGTAAACATCGAACAAACACAGAGCTCGTGGATTTTTTTGGAGGCCAATTAGAGTGCGTTGATTTTTGAAGTACGGCACAATTACTTTCTCTGCATACCGAATCATGGAATCTTCATTACTCTAGTGAGAAGTGGTCTGTGTGATATCCCAAGACTCAAGAAAATTTACTTTTGGGTGACAACGTTTCCCAGCATAGATGAGTTGAGGTGGCAGTAAATGTCCTGCTTTACTGATCGCCAACAGTACGGTGATTTGTCGCTTGTCGTCAATGCCATTCACTGTAACTTGCTGACTTCCTCGATCCTCCAAAGTCCATTCTCCGCCAGGAACCAAACTAACACCGGTCTGATCCCAATTAATGATCAACTCATTCGGGATATCATGTTCAGACACCACATTCTTAAATCGTTTGAGGAACGCAAATTTGATATCATCAAAATCACTTGGAAGTTTCTTTACCCCTTTCGTGCCTTTTCTCTTTACAACATTCATTCGCTTCAGAAGTGACTGCCCAGGATTTACTAATGTTTACTGTTCCCCCCTACTGTTGAAGTTTTGTTCTATCGACTTTTTGCACTATTCCTTGTGTTGCAGCCATTATTTATTACCCCACCACTTACACGCACTTTACGAATCCACTGCTGCGCCTTGATATCGAGCTCACGACCGATGAGAAGTGGCTGACCCCGTTGACCCTTCGGTAAAGCTGTGACAATTGAACTCAAATCTTGTTTTTTGTTTCCTTACATAAGAATCTCTCATGCTTTTGACGCTACTCTCAGGAACATTTTTCCAAGATCTTTGCTAAACTTTCGAACAGTCTTCATGACACCATTTTCGAGAGCCGATCACCCAATTTTTGCCCAAACTTCATCAAAATAAAAATTGTAGTCACCACGTTTTCGTTTGCGGGACACAGAAACACTTTGTTCAACAGCGGTGTTAGCAGCTTCGATGGCTTTAGCCTCGACGAGGAATACTTCTTCACGTGGGTCAGGGAGACCGAGACCCGGGGATGACGGTGGATTAACTTGCTTTAAACAATTCGTTATTAGAGACATGGTGTATACAGTACTCGAACGTAAATTAAACTGACAAACTTGATGAAAATCACTGGTTTTTTAAGGTAAAAACCTTTGTTCTTTGGCGTTAATGTGTTCTATTATTAAAACTGGCTTTTGTATCGATGTCTAGACCTAGGAAGGTGTGATTATTTTTGATTCGAACATTAAGTATCTTCTGCTTTCACTAATCAAAATCTGGAGCATTTCCTGCCCAACTGGGCAAGTGTTGATCCTTGAAGTTAATCCCTTGAATTCTCTATTCAACTCCGCGCAAATAAAATCTCGCGAAAGTATTGGGTATCTTGAAAAAGCGAAAATAAAATATTCCACAGTAATTACTTCCATCATTAGAAATTATGCAATCTAGGTAATTTATATTATTACTTTTATTCAAAATTATGATTTTCTTGTTGTACAGAGAGAAGATTGAATATTTCTGTAGAAACTGATTGTCGTCGCCTTCATTGTACATTGCGTGATCTATCATCATTATTGCAAGCATTGGGTCGGCATGCAGATCATTTCATTGCCGATAAGTTTACTGATAGATTACATGATGCCTTGTCACTCATGAATAGGTAAGACACCTTCTTAGCAAACAAACAAACAAACTATTGTACAGGTTATGTTAAGCATCCACATTTCCTCGTTTGAATTATCATGGTGTGATTATGCGAACAATGCTCATTGAGGCAGTTTGGTAATTACAGGATTCTGCCGTAAATTCGCCCATCTGAAAAATGGATGGTGGGCCCTTATTTGGGGTTCAAAATTTCATCAAATATTTTTTGGGGCTTATATTTTTATTGAAAAATCTACCTACGCGAGTTTTCAACGCCGGCAGTTGGACGACCCAAAACGAAAGAAACTATTGTAGAAGCTAATCTAAAATTGTTTCTTGCTGGATTAAAATATAGACCGCACATCTTTCTCCAAAAAAATCATATTAATGAACCTTGTGCGCCAAATACAATTATTTTGTTTCATTTTATTAGTAACGAAAGTATATTCTAAAAGAAGTTTCAAATAAAAATGAACCCAACTGCTACGTTTCACAATTGTTGATTATTACCTAGTAACAGAGGTACATTACTTGGGTTTGTAACTACGGTGACATGATACCAAGATCCCGTCACAATCTCGCTCTCGCATAAACGTTCCAACTCAGCAAAAATGCGAATGCGCATGCCCGAGGAAACTAGGATACTGGGATGTCCAGGTGAATCAAAATAGCTGCCCACGATATGACGGATTACGAGAACTATATTTTCTGTACATTTTCGATGTATCACATTTTTCAATATGATAGTGACAAGAAAAGTTTATTTTTTTCATTACAAACCTTGAACATTGATATGCGTCATGTCAGAAGGTCGTAGCCTCAGTCTCGCTATCTACAAGAAGAGACTTGAATGGGATCTTGACATGATGTCACCATACAGTACTATGCGAGTTGCAAACCCCAAGTAATGTACCTCTGCTAGTAATGATAAAAATAAATTCGTTGAATTGTTATGAAATGCAATTAATTTTCAACTTGTTTCATCGTAAGCGATCGCATTTTCAACGCTCGATGCTGTAGAAACAAATATCCGACATGTTTTGACCTGGGACGGTGTTCTTTGACCTGACAGTAAAATCTCTAATTAACCAATGAAAACGAAGGATGATGCCAACGTGCTCAAATTACTATACCTCATTTAAATATGTTAATATTATTAAATGCAGCACGGAAGAGATTTGCTGATGTTGTTGTACGATCTTTTGGCTTGGATTTTGATGGAAAAGCGGCATGATTTGTTTTTAAATAAAAAAAAATGTTTGTTTTCAAAAGATAAACAGAGCATTTGAAGAATAATTCACAGTGATAACAGCTCATTGTCGAAACGAAGCTTACCTATTCACGCTAGTCGCAATAAACATCAATACTCTTGACTACGATGAAACTTTTAGGCATTTGGAAAATTTACGGCGAATTTACGGCAGAATCCAGTACGTGTATATTGTTCAAAGGATATTGAATTTGGATGCGATCCAGTACTGCCTAAGTGTATACTTCTTCTTGTTAACTTAAGGACAGTATCCACAAGAAATTTGAACAAGTTCCTAACAGGTTTTTACAAGTATGCCTTTCAACAATAATCGTAGCATACACTTATTTGTATTTTCCTTTGTTTATCAGGTTGTGTCAGTGTTCTGTATATGGTACCAAAATGAGACTGTATGATGTACATACTCCAATACCAACCGTACTGAGACCAGATTTTATTCAAGTGTAAGTCTTATCTGTTCATTTTGGATATTACCTTGTTATTTTTGTCGACTTTGGCTACTGGTGCTACCGGTACATCAGTTATGTTAGCTGAGTTGAACTTGCTAAATATCCTGAGTGAGAAACAGTAACATGTCACCTGAACTTGAAATAAATAATGATATATCTACACATTGTTATTGCTTGTTTTATTCAGTCACGCCCAGGCATTGGCAGCCCTGCAAGCATTTAATCAGTGGGTGGCGCAGTTCTACCTCGAAACACAGCGACATGGAAAAGAGCAAGAGCAGTTTGTTGCCATGGTGACTACAATGGTGGATGCTCTTACACCACTATTAGCCAAGGGAGTAAGTAAAAAGTCACTTTTCAAGATTATTAGATATTATTATAACCTTATTATATGGTTTATTAATGTAAAAAATATTCACATCCTTGTTGTCACACAAAGACAACTGTGTCCTCTCATTTCTATCAATTTCAACCAATATTGATGTTTATGAGGAAACCGGGTTATGTGTTCCCCAAGTATGCAAGCTATTCTAGGGTATAGCGTCTGACTGGAAATTGAATGTTGAGGTTGCATTTTATCACAGGGAGGACTTTACATTATAAAACAGAATACATTAATGGTTTTATGGACCCACTGCCTCAAACCATCTATAGATATATATTTTGGGGAATGCCCGACCATTAGGATCCAAATAGCTCAATGGCCAGAATGTCTGTTACATCGCAGTTGTGCGAGTTGTGAGTTTGAACCCTGTCTTTGTGGTTTCTTTTTAGCACAGTAAAACTTGGTCAGCGTAACTGATGCCACATGTTCTGTATAAAAGTTTTAAAACAATTTATCAGAACAAAAGACATGAAAGTCAGTGTTCTCCCTAGGCCTCTGAAGCGACACGGTACCGTGACGCTTGGACACTCGGCCGTGATGCTTGCCCTTTGTCCGTGACGCTTGGTCACTCGCCCGTGATGCTTATTGCTTTGTTTACAAGTGTCAGTCTCGTCTTGCACGAATTTAAAACAATTACATGTATTGATCGAAAGGTAATCCCGCTTTTGTTAGCCATACAAAGACAGTGATAAAAACGGAAGTCTGCAATAAGTTGCGAAGTCTTTCAAGGATGCAGAGCCGGGGTGCAGAGCCTCCAAATCCAAAAAAAAATACTAGAGTAGCAATAATTTGCCCATTGCACGCAACGGCAACAATGTGACAAAACAAGTCACGGCGTACGTCGGGAAGATCAACCCCAATTTGCTGCTGCCGGTGACATTAATTACCCCAAAATTAAAAAAAAAACAAGTGAAATTAAGTCGCATTGGAAAGAAAAGTGTGAATAATTCAACAGCAGACGAGACGGGTTAAGAAAAAACGAACCCTGACCTCTGGAAATACCCCATTCATAGGATGCCTTAGTAGCGAAGAACGCCGCCCTAAGGCCACATAATGCACGTTGCAACCTTGTGACCGATGCATGCTGCGTTACAGAGGGGCTCTGATCGAGGTAACAAAGATGGCGGCGCAGAGTGCATGTTTTTCCGTGATGTTTAAAAACATCTCGTTGACGATTTTGATGTATTGCCTATGATAATAGTCAATGAACCGTTTTAATTAACAATTTGTGTATTTTACACCAAAAAGTCAGATACCGATGATCGCAATAGCAGCAGTGAATACCCGTCCAACGCAATGCCGTCAGCTGACAATGTTACGGTGATCGTAGCGTTACTCACAAGGTATATAGCAATGAAAAATCGCCGACTATTAGTGCCGAACTGCCATTGTAGAATTTTTTTCTAATTATTGATTTATTTCAACATATTTCGATATCTCGCCGACTTTATAAATTTAACCAAAAGATGTTTTCCCCCGACGTTATATGAACTGACAGTGACATGGGCACTAAAACTTGTACACAATGATCAGTTACATCCATCATGTACATCCATGCATCCATGGATAACATTATATTCACTGACTAGCTATAACACAAGTTTTTCAATTTGTTTTCCTTTTTATGCTGTTCTATTTCAACTTTATTTGACTTGATACAAAAACATAAAATACAATGCAGTAAAATGATATAAAATTTATCAAATATAAAAATATCTTGTCTTAATTGTATTAATTAATTGTCTTAGTAGATTGACCAAATTGGTTAGGAAAAACTGATTACTAGTATTATGCAAATATAATTATGCAAATTAGATGTATTGTTATGCAAATTGACCGTGATGCTTGACATGAAGTCTGGGGAGAACACTGAAAGTCCAAGGACATTTATTCATAAAAGTCGTAGGAAAATTGATAAGTACAATGAGATTTGAAGTGAGTCAGAATTGGATATAGGATATTTAGTGTAGATAAAGTTTCACAATGAGGTATTGTGCTAATCAGTTATGTCTCCCTTCAAACCTAGGTACCTGATAAAATCGCCATATCAGCAGCTCATCTGTTCCTCTCCATAGCTACCAGTATACGACCGGCATTTCTCATGCAGTTACCAAACGTACAGAAATTATTTAACGATGTCAGTGGAGGCTCACTGAGTACGTTACCCATAGAGGTAAGAATTGTCACTTACTCACTACAATTGCTTTGCTTTCAACTGTCTATTACATTTTCCAAAAGGGTGAAAGTGGTTAAAACAGTCACATTGTTTCATCTGTTCCATATCTGCCCTACCTATTGTATACATTACTCATGGAGGTGAAAATGTTTCTTACAATCGCATTGCTTTCATCTATTCCATATCGACCCAGCCATATACATTTCCCAAAGAGATAAAAATAGTTACTACAACTACATTGTTTGAATCTGTTCCATATTTACTATTGCATATCTATTGCATGTACAGTGAAAATGTAATCCCATATTCAATGGTTATGAGCTGCATGTAATGGACAATTTCAGACTGGATGTATATTTACAATAATCTGGATTATGTTGTTGTTTATTTTTGTCACAGGTGGAACTGCTTGTATACCGGGCATTGTCAAATATACTGATTCTACCATGGCCAAACATTGCAGAGACTGAGCAGCAATGGCCAGCCAGATCAGCCAATCATCTGAACTATATCAAAAGACTGACAGAGCAATTCAGGAATATTCAGAAATTTCCTTTTACTGATGACAAACAACGACAAGAAACTGGTTAGTCACTTTTTGTTTTTATTTGTTGATATATTGAGAGTAATTTTAAAGTCTGCTTTGAATCTGGGGAGTCGTTACCTGCGCATACGGCAGACGGCTGTAGTGTGTCGTTGTTTGCAAACAAGCTACCCTAACCAGGAGTTTTTGCGTTTTAGCAGGCATTGTTATTGTCGCTTAGGATTCAATTCCTGCACATGCACAGGTGACAAGCCTTCTCTGTAAATTGTTTTTTTCTTTTTTTAGCCAAACCGTGTATAAAGAAGACCCTGACCATACTGGTTGATTTAGTTGAGTCTGTGAGCGGTGAGGTGACCAAGACAAAACAGATATGTTATACGTCATTGCAAGACTCAATACAGTTTACAATATCAATATTTCCTATCCATATCAGGCAACCAGGTAAAGTAATGTAGTGTTACGTAATACCATAGTCGACTGACCTTGTCAGTAAGCTCTAATATTGTCAGATTACAATAAATTGTTCTTTAGTAAAATAATTTAGAGTTTATATATCGTATTTTTATCTGATTTATTTTAGATGTGGTTGAAGAGATTTTAAATTTTTTTTTGGCCGTGTTTCAGTCTCTTCGTATTCAGATGGGTGTCTCATTTACAGAACAAGCCATCCAGACATTTATGAATTTGTTCACAAGGTAAGCTAATAAGGGAGAATTTGGGTCCTGTCACAACATTCAGACAATTTTTAGCATTAGTTTGATGAATTTTGTTATTTTTCCATGATTTATTTGTTAATTCTGTTCATACTATTATCTTTTTGCAGGGAGCAGTTGGCAGATACCATTCTGAATGATGGGAGTACTGGCTGCAGAATTGTTGAAAAGTAAGAATGACATAATGCCCCTACCTCTCCTGACATGAATGTACTACTCATAATTATTCATAATGCCAGGTCATGACATATTTGTACTTCAAATGGTACAAACTAATATTATGAAAAGGAAAGGTATCATGTGCCGCATATCTTGTACCAGAATCTATCGTATTTCCCCGAGTATAAGCCCAGGGGCCTGAACATGTAAAATAGAAAAAAATAAGGGGTGGGCTTACTCGAGGACCCCCTCAGAAAAAATAATTTGTTGGTGCGTTTAAAACTGTAACCATCTTCCCAGTCTAAAATATTATCCAAATTTCTTTTTTCGTTTACAGCGCCGGCCTGGGGAATGTTACGTCTTTCTGAGAAAACAAAAATGGGAAACGAGCCGTCATTAATTTTAATGACGCTTTTTACAATAAAGAAACAAATATGAACAATAAACAAAAATGTTATTACAATATGGTTCACATACTGTCTGAATTTACGGTGCAAAAATGGGTTGGGTCTGTTGGAAAATGGTCGAAGGCAAGATTGTACGCAAACTCTCGATACAAAACTATTCGTAATTTGACCTGAACAACTTCCTTTGACCTAACAGGTCACGTCTTTCGTTAACCAATGTAAATGCTCTGTCATACAGTTGAAGTTTTCCGATTATTGACCAAGTATTTTTATCAACGCAATGCGGAAGTGTATTACCACGATGTCAAAATGCGATCTGTTAACACTTATTTCGCCAAAAAACGATGACTTGTTTCTCTACAAGCTGCTGATTCGCAATTTTCGAAAGGTAAATTGAGGGTGAGGGAAGTATTTAAACCTTTCACGGCCGCCAACAAATCCTATCAAAGAATAATTTGCTCGTTCACACCCTATTCACGATAGTTTCAATGGACATGATTATTCGGAAAAGTATAACAATGATAGTGACCAGGTTTCACAACTTGACGATCACATTTTTGCCGTTTGGAAAACTACTACTCAAAAGAAATGTGGATTATTTCAGTATTGCAACATTGAGTAAATAACAGTATAAAAAGCGTGCGAACTATGTACGTTCACTCTGAAATTAATGCAAGTTTTCTCGTAAAACCTGGAACCAAACTACATGATTTTTATGCAATAAAATACACTTTTTACATGCATATTTTAATAAATGTTGTCAACGCCCGATAAAAACACCCTGGGCCTATACTCGGGGATGCCCTCAACTCGTTAAATGTCCAAAAACAGAGGGGTGGCGTTATACTCGGGGAGGGGCTTATACTCAGGGAAGTACGGTAAGTTCAAACTGTTGGAAGAGGACATTTATTGTCCTTTTTATCGTTTCTATCTGTTCATAATTCTTCAATAAACATAAACAAATAATTACGTTTGGAGGTTGCTGAACTAAGACGTTTTTGTGACGTTGTCAGTGGTAACATGATTGTAAAAAAAAAAAAGTGTGAAGCACAACAAAAGTGTGAAGCATAGAAATGAATACAAGACTCACAGATGTTTTATTTCTTACCAATGAGAAACATTGATCATTTGAATTTCGATCAAAATTAACAAAAATTTTGCTTACAAAGGTTCAAAGTCAATAGCATATGAACGTCACCATTTCCTGCTAGGTGTTGAAATGCTAGATAGGAAAATTATCTTTTTTGCCAAAATCATGTCTATATATACCAGTTGCATATGTACACTTAGAAAAGTTGAGCTGTAATGTTGTGTCCTAATTAAATATTCGCATTTGTAATTCTGAGCTGTCTATCAAGTTTTGGTGATCATCACATTTGGTACATATGAAACACTGAAACGACTTTCATTGTCCTTATCATTAAATGTAACTTGTGAAACTACTTTCAATCTGTTCCTATCAATTTTTAAAGTTTTTAATCTCTCTTTGTACAGATTTCTAAGAATTTTACAGATTTTGGTTCAAGAGCCAGGATCAGCAAGTAAAAGGTTTCTACCCAGTATTATAACACTATGTATGGACCAAATATATCCCATAATAGCAGAGGTAAGGCATTATACTTTGCTGATTGGCTTTGATCAGTAGTTATTCAATTCAACAACTAAAATGAATGAGGTTGATATTATTGGTGTATTTGTCTTGCTAAAATATGAACTTTAGAGTTCTATCTCTGGCAATGACTGTTGCTATAACAACTACAGTCTGATACAAACTTCTTAACTTCTCTTTTCAGAGATCTTCACCCGATATCAAGTCTGTATTATTTGAACTACTACATTTACTATTACTCTACAATTGGAGATATTTCTTCAGATCATCTGTATTAGACAGTATGAAGTCTGGGAATGAAACAATGGAGAACCAACCACGGTTTGTGGCTATCATGCAGGTATGAATAGTAATTAGCACTGTGTATGGCATGTCCTGTGTAGTCTGGGGTATTTGAAACTGAAATTGTTAGGCCATCGCTGATTGGCTACTGATTTGAAATTACATTTTTTGGTTTCAAAAACCCCAGGAAAGTGTTCCATGTTTCTTGTGTTATTAGGTGTTTGTATACCGAGGATTTTTCCACACAAAAATGACAAATTAAGCCGAATTTTGTTAGCGATTGGCTTAATATTACCCCAACGGATCGCTTGGCTGTGAAAGATTGGTATTTTTTTTCCTGATTTGTAGGAATCTGAAAAACATGTTTCCTAAACTGTCTCCTTATTTAGTTTCATGCCGTATTCAAGATGGCGGTTCACATATAGTAAATATTGCATTTATTTTATTACCACTTGTGTGCCAGCTGACAATGTTTGAAAAGACTCTAAATTGTCCCACTCATCTGAATTTGAGATTTTCTGATCTGGACCAGTGATGTCGCAGTGTTCTATTTGCCTGGCTTCAGACAGGTTGTTGGTTCAGTCGCCCAATCAACTGTACACTCAATAGTATAAATGAGAGTACTTTCTGACCATACAGTATTTGGTGTGGAAGAAAGACTTATTGATACAATTGTTCTTGCTCTTGGTGTTTTTTAAAGAAATCTGGTATCCATAACTCTAAAGTAGCAGATTTCACAGTCTTTTTGACTCCCGTGTGCAAAGCACAAAAAGGGAGTCTTTGCAGTTAGTGTGTCTGTCTGTCTGTCTTCTGTGTGTGTGTGTCTGTTCCATCGATATCTCAAGAACCAATGTTCGGATTTCAATGAAACTTGGTATATAGCTTGTCTGGGGCAATGCGCAGATTTGATTACCGTAGTTTTTGGTTGACATCCATGCATATTAATGAGCTCATCTGCATAATAATGTGTGAATTTTACACTATTTCTGTTATATCTCAAGAAGCATTAAAACGATTTTCATGTATTTTGGTAAGAATGTTACTAATGATTGGCAGATGCAATTCATTGTTGTATTTTACATTTTAATTAAAATTTAGCATTTTTTAAGTATTTTTGTATTAGTTTTTTTTTAAATTATTCTGCCCAATTGCATGAATACAACTAATAGGAATCGGTGAGTGGACTAATTTGCATAATGATGCGCATGCGTATTCTATTTTTTTTATGACCAGCAATTTATGATGGTGTCAGCCATTTTGTTATTTCCAGTGTGTTGTACAAAAATGAAGCAAGCGCTCGGGAGATGAAATGTATCAGTTTACATTATGAAAAGGTCTAAGAAATTACATGTATGATTTTTTATTATC